ACTAATGTCCGATAGTGTATGCTTCATTTTATCCATATAATCCTATCCGGTTTACCTAAGCTACATAAATCTGGAATATATCTTCGTCTCATTCTTAATATGTCCCTATCACTCTATTTGAGATGGATATTTCGTTTTAGAGCCGATTCACAGAGAAGACTGTAAGCAGTCTGTTTCTAATACCTTTGAAATTGTTGATCCGGTAAGCAGTTCTAATATTTCCAATGTAACAGTTAAATGAATTTTCTGAAAAACTGGTTTACATTACGACTGTACACTAATACTTTTAAGCGTGTTGTGTACTGCTTCTAACTACAGGCTTTGTCGATATAAGGATAGAATTTGAGCTTTTTGGTAGAATATAACCCTATAATGGAATTATCAGCTTTGTCATTTATAAATAACAGTTAACAAACTAAAAGTTGATTAATTTCGTAAGGAATCCAGTGTTGTAGTGTGCTATCCTGGTTTCAAAGCAGTAGTGAATGAGTTATGAGAATTGAGAGTATCAGTCTCCTGTGATCTCCTGTTTCAACTTTCAATATAGTTGAAAGATAATGCTAAGAAAAGGAGTATCGTTTTGTCCATAGGCTGTAATCAACCTGACAGTGTAGGATACGCTACCAGGCTATTATAAGCGAACTAGATTTAGGACACAGCTATCCCAATGCATTCAAATAATGTACAAATATGTCGGCTAGCTCCAGACACGGAAGTGGTAGTAAAAACGAATGTGATAAGTGATGTGATAAAATCAACACATCACCTCTGCTTTTTTGCATTGCTTAGTTTTGTATTTAAATTAGTGAATATTCTGCAGACTTATTGAAGCAGCTGAAACAGGCATATGACCAGTAAAAATTATACTAAAACTGTTTATCATCCCACACATAATTAATACACTGGATTTTTTTTTGTGCCTAATTTGTCCATCTTTTATATCATCAATAAATATATGTTCCATCTTCAGGACAGAGATTTATCTGTCAGTTTTGCTTATACATATGTTTATGCAAATAGACATTAGACATTAGTGTTTTGTTGCCGAATGGTGGTCAGATGATTTAGTATGTTATCGTTATAAGTGTTCAGACATTTTTATCTATAAAATTGCATGTGATGATTCATTCTTTTTTATTGATAAATACAAATTATTGGTATTAGTTACTCATGTAGAAAAGCTAACTACCTCAACAACAACTACCTTTGGAAATATATTTTATGACTATTTTATGTATGATGTAGGCATTTGTTTACCCTATTATTCCATTTCCGTAAGATAACGTATTCGCTTTGCTTTTCCCCCGCTTCTTAGATGACTTCATTGACTACAAATTCTGCTCTTTTCACCAGTTGTTTTTTTTAATCCACTTAGTTGCCTAACATGTATTTATAGCCCTTATGAGTCGCAAACAGCTAATATGAAAAACCATTGGCTTACTCTACTCTGTCAACTTGTGTATGAATAATGTTTTCCATATGATATCGTCGGAGAGATGGTCTGTCATGTTAATGACTGTTCTTGTAACTATGCTTCCTACTTGAATTTTAAGTGTTTTGCGTACTTATCGTGTCAAACTATTGTGAATTTGTAGACATATGTCATTGGAAAATATCTTAAAATCTATCTGCTAAAGGATAGGCAAAACACTTTTTCAACTGTCCACTTCAATATTTCTTGTTAGTACATGAACGTGTGTCTGAAAAATGCATCACACTGTTGAATAGTTTTCCTTCACCCAACATATCTGTTGCTGAAAAAGCATAATCTTTTTCTTATGTCTACTGAGCTACTATTCTCTTCACTATAAATTATTCCTTTCATTTGTATCTCTGGGTCTGCTCTACCTGAGTTTGAAGGGAATTTAACAAACCACTCTAGGTTAATCGTTTCCTCCAGTATGTGTGTAGCAAGTGAAATCAGATATTTGGTTAAGAAAAGACATTTTATGAACAGAAAAAATTACAGTATACCACTAAGTATTTGACAAATTGATTGTTAGGCAGAGAATTTTCGCTAAGCAATTGAGAAATAAAAACGCAGTGTATACAAACACATTTAAATTATTGTGCACGTGTATATGTATTTTTTATTTTACTACTATGAAATATTTACCATACTTTTTTTTACTTCTGATAAGACTGCGTTTATTTTAAATTTACCACTGAATGAATGTTAAATGCTTGTAACGGACAAATAACAAAAGGGTAGAAGTATCGTCTGTATCTTCAGGATATCATTTGTTAAATTTGTTTATAGGCTGATAGTTGGTGGCGATATGGCAGAATTTAAGTTTACATCGTGTTTTATCGAATTATCTCTATCTTGCCTTTTTTAACTGTATTCATTGCATTTTAATTGAGGACTGTTTATACAACTCTAATATTTTTTTCTGTTTCCTCTTGACTAAATTATTTATTTGTTTGTTTTTTCTGTTAAAAATGTTTTACTTTCGACGAATGATGAGTGAATCTATGTCCATATTGATTTCGTATAGTCGTTAATTCTCCCGCATGTTGATGTGCACAAAGGACACATTACTTATCCTATTCATTAGATGAAATAAACTGGGTTAACACCCTGTATTTTTTTAAAAATTCAAATCTCTAAACTCACAAGCTTTGACATGGGTTTTTTTTTGGGTTGGACATATTTTTGCTTTTTCTATGCAGCCTATCTGTCTGCTTTCCTTCTAACAGTACCTATTTCTTCTTCGTACATACACATCTCTTTGTTCCTTCTGCATTCTAGCTACTGTAAAAAATTATGTATATATATCAGGCATATTTTGCAAAAATTAATGATTATATTTAGTGTGGTTTAAAAGTTAAGAAATGTTAGAATCAAAAGCTAACTAAGTAACAAGTGACGCGAATGCCGGAAATATCCTTAGAATATTTCATTAATACGAACGTTTTACAGATGTAATTTGCCTCGTATGCGAGGTGATCTCGATCTATGACCTAATAACTCGAATTTCATCCAGTGGGTCTTGGGCATCACTCCTATTACACCCGCTTCAGCTTGGGCATCTAGGTGGTTTCATCAGCCTCAACACAATAGTTGTGACTCGTAACCCGTTGGCAGGTGACTGAATTCCAAGTGTTTACTACTCAGCACTCATTGGTTTTCGGTGACTCTCTAAATGATATTGGTTCTTGATGGGATGTGCATTCAGAGTGTTTTATGTCTCACTGTATTCAATATCCATGCAGTTCCTTTGATTCCACTTCAGACGAACCAGACGTTCACCTCAGTAACTTTCAGAAGGCCATTTAGGATACATAACTGTCCAATAAAAAATCTTGTTAATCATAAACATTTTTACACACTAAACGTGCGTTAGTCATTTTGTTAAACCTGCGTCTAGGCCACTTTGAAATAATTCTTAATTACAGAAACTGAGGGATTCAAAATTCTATTTGATAATCGTCGGGATAATATGATGTGAGGTTGGTAACCACTCAGTTTATTTGCCTCTTAGCACTAATACATATCACAACTAAATTGTTGAATTCTCCAAATTGCTTTAAATTTTTTAAATCTGATTCATGTTAGGTCATGAAATGTCATTAATTTTTCGTCCGTACTTGCGTGACGCGTGTCAACAAAGAAGCCCACTCCCTTTTGTTCATTATCGGCAGTAGTTTGCGTCTTAACCCATTACACAACAGGTGTTTATCCAAACACTTTTCAAGGGGAATCTGTGATTTTCAAATTGATATCAAATTCAAAGGATTATAAAAACCTGTTAAGAAGTAGAGATAGTCTCTCTTCGCTTGTTTTCTCTACGTATGATCCTTTCATATTAGCTTTTCATATTCCTCTATATTTATGAGTAGCTAAACACAATTGATCTTATGCTTCTGCATCCTAGATATGGCAGTAAATAAATGCAGTTTGAACGCCCTGTCTTGAAATAGTGTATCGATTTTAATAGCACTTACGCATGCTATGATCGTTATTTACTCACTAATTCTATTATGTAAGGATAGGATTTGTACACCACTAAGTCTAGAATGATAAACCAGAAAAACCCATCCATTTGTGTTTAATTACTCGCATACAATCACACGACAGTGTGGCTCAGAGTAAAAGTTATATGTAAATATATATATATATATATATATATATATATATATAAGCAATGAAATGTGCTCCAAACGTCTACCAGGTAATATTATTGCAACACTTTATGCAATAACTGTGGTATGAGTTTTCACCTGCATCTTAGAACCTTTTATTCTTTTATTTCTCATTAATAAGTAAGTTTCACGAGTCATTATTGTTTGTTGAATTTTATTTTGGACAGGACATCTAATTCTTCTTTCACAAAATTTGTTAACGGTGAAGTTAGACACTTAACTTCCATTCATAAACTAGCGGTTTCATTGAAATTTATATTTATCAACAATTTTGTAATCTTAGTGTGCTCATGGTTATTCTTCATTTGCTTTTTGAAGGAGTAGCACTATCCATGCATTGGTTTAAATCCTTTTCCCAATTACTTACTGTCTGTTTATCACATTAGCCATCTACTGATGTAAGAATAGAACTTGTGCACTGTGGTAGAGTATAATTTCATTGTGGGTAAAATTTGTTTTGATAAAGTCTCACAGTGTTATGCAGTAATATTTACTGGTGACAATGTTCCGAGCACAATTTATTACTCGTTTATATAATCGAAGTCAGAAAGTTGCGTGAGTACCCTGATATACCTATGAGCAATAAATGGTGGTTGAAGCGTCTTTAGTACACATTACTGTATAACGCTGTGGGACTATCAAAATGAATTTTACCCACAATAGAATTAGTTATTTACTGGTTTGTATAATAATTTTAAAGTCTAGCTTTTGTCATTTTTGTATTCATTTTTCGCATATTTTTATTTTATTCTGAATTCGTGGCTATCAACGTTTTGTTGATGGGTATTTGTAAAGCATACAGACTACATTCACTGTATTTTACACCATTTCATTTTTTAAATTATTCTTTTCAGTACGAGAAGAGAATACAGTTAAACATTATCGTATCCGATCGAGGTATTCACGCACTGATCCCACTTTGAAGCGTTTCTACATTTCAAGACAATTACCCTTTGTTAATATTCAGCAGTTGGTTAATCACTATCTAGAAAACCAATCAGGTTTATGTTGTCGGCTGGGAAAACCATGTATTCGGGTAAGTTCACTGCAACTATTCACACTATATTTCCTTGCTTCCGATTTTCCCTCTTAAAGATTTACAAGTATTGGTTTTGTAGGGATTTTGTTTGTTTGCATGGAGGATTTCATCATTACAAGTATTAAACCATACACAAGGGGAGGTAATAGTTTGCTTTAGTGTTTGTAATTCTACCTCTTCTTATACTTCGTTTGAAAGTTTTATCGTATCAAAAAGAAAACTGAGGTATATATTCAGTGAGCTGTTTTTAAACAGGACTACAAGTTTTCTTCTCTCACTCCGTAAAACTAATCTTGAAAATTGTTCATTCACTCTTAAAACCTGTCGTCAGAACTAATAGACTTCTTTATGTAGTGGATTCAATTCCACTCGGTATGGGGTAACATTGTAAACCTCTGTATGTCATAAGTACATTTTTCTGTCTTTCAAAGAACTAATTAGTTTGATCTTATAACCTGAATAGTTTATTGCTGCAGATATTAATTGAGGCGCATAAAAGTGTCGTGTCCGCGAACACACTGAAAGTTCATTGCAAAATGAAAACTGTCTGAATGTTCACAACTATTCACCTATGAAGATATTTTATCACGATATAGAGATGATTAGATTATTCTGTCTGTCTGCCTGTTTTCGACATAGAACTTTGCACAAATGTGCGGAAGTTCAAGTTGCCACATTCCGTGTAGCACGCGAAGCAAGAGAAGAAAGTACAAGAAAAGCATAATAGAAACAGTGAGCAGAGGTGTGAGACAAAGGAGTAATAAAGAAATACAAAACAATTTCATTGAAGATCATAAGTCACAGGGAGTGGATGCATCTGCGCCACTGAGAACGATTTTGAGCCATGTCACCAATTGTTTCCAACCATAGATTTTTACCGTCCCGAGGACCCCAGCCTGGAAGTCTACACCTTCCTACGTGGCTAAGACCAACTGTTGTGGATTTCATTGACTGATGCCAAGTTTTTGTTTGACCGCCGCTAGCTTTTTTCCAGCCTGACCCTATATCCGCTAACATAGCTCGCCGAGGGAGGCGATGACTTGGCATACGTAACACATGTCCTAACCATCTCAGTCGATGTAGCTTCACGACTTCGTCGATTGATTTCCCCTGTTTACCTAGCACTCGACGCCTAACTTCAATGTTGCTCACCCTATTATGCCACTTTACACGGGAAATAGAACGCAGGTACCTATGATCAAAGGCAGCTGGTCAGGCTTTTCATGTCTTCTACTCTCAGTGGCCAGGTGTCACAACCATAAAGGAGGACGGAGCGGACTGATGAGCAGTACACCCGCCCTTTGGTCGATAGTCGAACATCTCGTCTACGCCAGAGTCGGCGTAAACTATTGGTTACATTCTAGAATCCTGTTGATGGAATTTGTACCCAGTGAAAATTTCTCAGCATAACGTGATACAGTTGTTGATCACTGATTAAGATATTTCATTCTCTACACGACTGTCATTTATTCAGCCATAGTTAAATGGAGAATTGAATGTGTCAGCTTGAAATTGCAGCTTCGGACACAACAACTATGTGAAATATTTTGGGAATAGTTCTGTGCATACTACCTAAAATGACAATCAAAGGTTTGTATAGAGAGTGTTGGTGACCATCATCTGTCCTCATCCTCACAGGCGGGGCTATAATTAAATATCCCATACGTCACTACTCGCTCATTATGATGCCCACAAACTTTTCCTGAATTAAACAAAACTCATTGGTCATTCTATTATAAATTAAAAATTTCTAACACCATTTGTATTTACAATATAGTTTTTAGAAGCTGAACGTTACAAGGTGTCTATGACCTTTATACTGGAATTTGACCCTGATTTATTTAGCCGCAAGCAAAAAGATAATTGATTGATACTTAAGCTAGATTAGTTTTTCATAACTATAATCTGGGGAAACAACTAAGTGTGGGAATATTTCAGTCCTAAACAATTATTAGCAGCTTGTAAATAGAAGATCGACTGTTTTTATTAGTATAGCTGTAAATAATTGAGAGTTGACTTCATCTTCTGTTGTATATTTATTTTTATAGCTGACTGTCATGATGCTGAATATTCAAAGTATTTCTTTACGTAAGAAATTGCTGTAATCCTCATAATTTCTTGTAGTTCCTTAGTCCATCTCATGGTCCCTATTTTGTACTTAGTTTGTGTTTTTTTATTAGAAAGGAAATTCTGAGACGAGTGATTGTGTCCAAAAATGCTTTCAGTGGTTTTCAAATGTTTGTCGGACATCACTTCTTCTCTTCGTGATCTTTCATGTAGTTTATAAGCGATAACTGCAATGAGAAATCTATATGATACCAGTGAAATATTTTTTTAGAGGACAATTAAGTTAAAAAAGAAGGTTGAACTGTCTTCGGTTAAAGAGCATTTCCAGTAGGCTAAATCGGTATTTTCCTGACTTCTTTATGCGTGGCCTTGTACATGTACTAACTACTCTAGGTATTTGTTTAAAACCAGTTATAGCTTGTTATCGTATTATTTATCTTATGTCAGGCTTATTTGGCTGATTTATTTTATGTCTTTTTGTAAATGGTTTGGTTAAATTCTCACTTTATTTGGATAAAATATTCCTGACAGATAAAAGCCGACATATTAAGCTGCCTTTGGTGTAGAACGGTTTTTCTTCACTCGCCTCCTTTCTTTTTGTTAAGTTAGGTGATTATATATTGACTCAGCCTTGTTTTAATCATTGTAAATTCTACTACGAAACTACACCTCAACAAAATGTTTTATCCTGTGTCTATCATTATTTAAGTTTTAGTTTTAAGAAGACAAGGCATAAACGTTCAGCTAATTGTCTTTACCATCCGTAATTTCTGTTGTCTTTATAAACTAAAATTTATTGTTAATGTCTATATAGGCACTAATTATACTTACAACTTTTGAAGTGTTGAATGTTGAATCAGACCTGTTTTGAAACTTGGTGGTAAAATTATTACTATAACTTAATTCATAGCACAATTATGTGAACGCGTCTGATATAAAAAACATAATGAGCATGCACACTTTTGCCTTATTTTTTTTTCAGCCGACTCACCCAGAACCTGTGGGTCTGTCACATAAACTTATTGATAAGTGGGAAATCCCGAAATCCTCTATTATTTTAAAAGAGAAAATTGGACAAGGCCAATTCGGTGAAGTCTTTAAAGCTGTATGGAATAAGACGACAATCGTTGCTGTGAAAACTCTTAAACCCAGTAAGTCTATTTAATTATTATTTGAAATGTTTTAGGAAGCATTGGTCTGCTCTAACGTCGTCAGTCATATTGAAAAAACATTCCCAATGTGTGTATTTCATTGACAGTGTGACACTTGTATTTCAACCAGTGTTACTAGGTTTTGAATCCCGTTCCAATTATTTCAGGTTAGGTGACATGGCAGTATCATCTGCTGTCTCGTGCTCATGATGTACATTTTAATAATTAGACTAAAAGGGAAAACTTAGTCAAAAGTATCATGTACATTTGCAGTCGTTGTCGATGGCACAGCGATTAGGACGCTCGCCCACCATGCACATGGTCAGGGGTTCGATCACTGGCCGACGCCCTCCTTTACCTCGCTAAGCCAGAAATAAAGCTCTTAAAGCGGAAAGGTTGGATATGAGGCTAGCAAACCAATCCTGTAAAAATAAGCACTGCTACAGAAACTTCAAGCGTCTAGCTTGAAGCCCTATGTTCCACTGGGAACGTGAAGGAATTAAAAAAACATTTGCAGTGGTTAGTAACTGTGATCCTTGTTTTATACAGTATGTAGTGGATTTTTTCTTCTCAAAAATATCCAGTGAATATTTTGTAGCATGAAATTGAACAGTTTAAAGTAAGCTGATGGCTGACTGATTAATTATTGAAACATGCTTCCTGTAGATTCTATTTTGTTCAAGAACAGCTCACCAGTCCAAAAGGTGATTTCTTTTTGAATTTCATGTACAGTACACGAGGTATAAGATATATAAGTAAACTACTAAGATATATTGGTCTTTTGGAAATCTCTGTTACGTGATTGTCTGCTAGAATTTTATTTTAGTCATCATTGTATTGTCACATAAATTTGCTTTTCAATTTTTTGGTGTGATATCATACCAGCATTATCGACAAAAATCTGTACTGCTAATTAGTGCACTATGCCATGCCTAATAATTGTGAATCAACTTTTGTAACTCATTGCTTAAAAGTTGACCAGATTAGCTAATCAGACACCTTTTGCGCTTCCGTGTGGTCTCCAACATTAATTATTGCACTGCCTAGTTTATAAAACAATCATGGAAATTGGTGGAATACTTCAATCAGTATATCGTGTTTATTAAGTTCAAATGTAAAAAGCTAGTCTACTATTGAAGAACACTCATTGAAATAATAAGCAATAAATAAAGATGTACAACACAACAAAATAATAACACTTTCAGTTGAACACTGTAGTAATGTCGCTAGTATATCTACACATTTAGTAATCATAAGCAAAATGCACTAGGCATTATCTATATACCCTTTTTTTAAGATACTTCAGAATGAATTCATTATTATCCACTCCACTCTCTCGACAGGACTGTATTTTACAATTAATTACTTAGATTTACCATATTATTCAGAGAATCATATAATTATAAACAAGTCAACCTTTTGTATGTGTGTATCATTCCTTGTCTGTATAATTTTTCGAAAGAGAAACGATACAAAACAAAGTGAATCATTACTGCGAAATGTTAGTTGTTATTGTGTGTGTTTATCAATCAACATGTTTATTTTTGATTGATTTCTTCTAACCTTTTCTTAGCCTTATTCTCTGTGGTGGCTAATAAATATCACAACACTAAAAATTTAATGAGCAAAAAAAAAATCTAAGATAACTTGCAGTGGCACTGTGCGTCGTACTAGTTGTTGTTTTGGTTTTAACTCGAAGAATCAGGTGAAGAAGTAAATGCAATGGAGGAGGAAAGTTACTAGCCTTCCTTCACCTAGGCAGCTGAAGGCTACATTTAACAAACACGACCACCACAAAACAATGAAATAAACAAACGTGTCACAGGATGCAAGAACACTGAAAATGCTTATCACAATAGTCATTTTGGAAAAGCATCGTACTTGAATATTGCAAGATAAATAAAACTAATTCACATTATAATTGTTTAAACATACCCATTGTGAATTTCAAAAGTCCAACTAGTGAACAAAAGGATATTCTTTTCGATAACTTCATTAGGTGTTCTACGCTTATAATTATAGAATAATTGTTATTGACAACTGTAATGTTTTTTAAATGACTTCAAAATGATAAAAAGTTTATGAGAATACATAGCTAATCGATTATAGATCAAAATATGTGTATTTGATAATATGCATAGGTGCAACACCAAATAGGATATGAAATTTCGAAAGTAAATGATCATGAATAACAACAAATATGGTATATTCAAATACTGGTTTTGTAGGGTTCATTTTTTTTTCGTTTGATTAGTTGGAGGATTTCATCATGAGCTGACATCTGTTAGAGAACCTCTGGAAAACTTGGTAGTACTGGACAGCTGCTTCGTCCTTGTGTGGGACTCATCGGCATTGCGCACCCGCGGGGGGTTGGACCCGGGACTTTCAGATACACAAGGCAAGCTCGTAGACCATTAAGCCACTGACTACTGATGCAATAGCCAGCCCATGAATTCCAACTGTTGCCAATTCATGACATAGCGCGACCAATGTCTTCTATGAGTTGCTGCCTCACCTTCAACCTACTGGTCACAACTTCCCACGAGAACCCCAGATCACTGCCTGGATAGGGCCAGGGGTTAGTGAGCGTAATAATGAATTCCATGATTAATGCTCACATAGAATTTTATTCAGACAGATTATAAACTTCATATGGCTGAATGATGATGCTTCGACGATGATGTCTGGGCATTCAATTAGTATTTAATTGGTGGATGGTGACTAGCAGTGGAATCCAGGATGTGCACTTCGTCCTATTTGTAACTCGCCATCTGGATGTATCTGCATTTCCCAGTGAGTGATGATGTGTCCACCGAGGCTCGAACCCAGTGCCCATAGTTTCAAACTCCAAAGCGTTATCCGGTAGATCACTGCTAGCCACCATCCACCACTTAAATTCTAATTGCATTCCCAGACATCGTCGAAGCATCTGCACAAGAAGCCAACATGTCAACCTGAGACCGAGCATTTCGATCCAATCAATCGACGGGAAAATCAAAAATTAAATTAAATTAATATGACCCGTTGCACAAGAGATGGTTCTCGTGGTCTAGTGGATAACGCTTTGGCGTTTGAAACCATGGGCATTGGGTTGGAGCCTCTCTGGGAACATCATCACTCACAGGGGGATGCAGGCACATCCAGCTGGCGAGTCCCAAATAGGACGAAATGCGCATCCTGGATTCCACTGCTAGTCACCATCCACCAATTGAACACTATAAATAACCTTGGGAAGGTGAAGTTCACAATAGATTTACTTAGTTTTACATCATTGACAGCACATCATTTTTTGGGGTTATTCCGTGATTCAGTTGCATCCGCGACTGAATGGAGTCATCGGCATGATTTACTTTGTTATCAAAGGACAGTATTCAGAGAAACTCATATTGTGTATGTTTGTTTGTGAATTATAGTGTCTCTCGTCAACTGAATATTTTTGTTATTAAACTCATCAGTCAGTGATAAAAGGTCATGATCATAAAAGCTTTTATGCTTATTGCTAAGACACCTCGATGTATGTTGTCTAATTTAAATTTTATATTAGTCTGTTCAACTGATATGTTTAGTCTCACCTTAGATGTGAAAAATTTATTCTCTAATCTGATTGGTCAAAAAAGCCTCATTGATTTTCACCATTCACGAACATCAATTCTTATTTGAGTAACAGAATTTCACAGGCTTGTCTATATTACTATGTTAGGGTGTGCTTTACCTGTTACAAATGACTAATATACTTCAACATTCGACCTAAATTAGTCACTGCGTTACTGTTGTCACACAGTCTTACCTTTATTTAAGCTTGTAACACAAATTTACCAAAAATAGAAACCATTAGCTTGTAAAGAGATAAGGAAAAAGTAGCGGTGAGCTAAATCTGGAAAAATATTCAAAATTTCTTACAGTATAGAAGTGCAGACAAAATCAATTCATGATTGATGCCTATTGAAAATTCTAATTTAGATTTTATCTTTCAATTATAATCTTCTAATCCATGTTTCAACAAGAGTCACTAAACTAACTGTCAGGAGCCCTAAAATTGTTTACCTTAGTAAATTACTTCTTTTGCTTTTGCTTTTGTCATCGGTAGTGATTCATTCAAGCGTCCAAGTCGGTATGTAGATGCTTAGACTGGAGATATTTTATCATCATCAAGTGACAGTTTTCGACTCGCTTTCCGTCTTTCTCGCTATTTCTTTATCGTCTAGCTTATCTTCATCAGCAGATTCAGCCATAAATGGCATTTCTGAGTTAGTGTGTAGTCTTTTGTTCGTGTTTTGAAAATAATGAACTTATTTCAAAGTTCGACTGTTCGAATTGGGATGATGCTTCAAAAGTACTTTTGTTTCTGTTAACACTGTATCTCAGTGAGTTGAATTCCACTTTGATGTAACAGTACGGAACCTCTGGCCGCTGTTTGGTGGGCTTTACTCATTACGTAATGCTTGTTACCACTGTGTATGATCCTGGTTCAAAATGGATATGCGACCATATTGAGTTAAAAAATTTGAAAAAAATCATGCTAATCCTGACCTACACCAACTAAAGACCGATTTTAGGTTTCAGTCTTCATCTAGTGTTGTCCAAGTTCATACTCAAAGTATATCAGCACCGTATACATGTCCTAAGAGACACCAGCATAATCTGGTATTATCTCGGACGTAAATCACAGGTGGTACGCATCGTTCGATAAAAAACACCACTTCTCCAAACAAACATCTGTATAATACAACTAAACTGCAGGAACAGTTGTATGTTATTGATTAATAGCAGCAGAACAACTGAAAAAGTTCTGCATATATTTGCGTTGGCTGATTTTTTTCAGAAATCATGATTCGGTTTTCATTGTGATAGTTGTAGGATGAACCTCAATGTATAAGACTTAACACAAGTTGACTATATATTACGATCACAATTCGATGAATCTCACTTTATTTATGACCGTGTGTGTAGGTATTTCCATCATATGATTTGATTATAATCACCGTCGTAAAGCCCGTTAA